TGAGAGCTTAACTCCTACAGTAATAGTCAATGTCTTTTTTTAATTGTTGAAAAATATACATAAATTTTAACCATTTTTTGAGTGTACAGTTGAGTGGTGTTAAGTACATTCACATTATTTGCAACCATCACCACCATCCATCTCTTTTTCATCCATCCAGAACTTTTTTATTTTCTCAAACTGAAACTTTGTATCCATTAAATACTAACTCCCCATTTGCCCCCTCTAGCCCCTGGCAACCACCATTCTTTCAATCTCTACGAATTTAACTATTCTAGGTACCTCATGTAAGTAGAAACACATAGAATTTGTCCTTTTGCAGCTGGCTTATGTGACTTAGCATAATGTTCAAAAGGTCCATCCATATTGTGCATGTATTAGAATTTCCTTCCTTTTTTAAGGCTGAGTAATACTCCATTGCATGTGTATACCACATTTTGTGTATCCGTCTGTCAATATACACTCAAGTTGCTTCCACATTTGGGTATTGTGAATAATACTGCTACGAATAGGGTTTCCAGGTATCTCGAGACCCTGCCTTCAATTCTTTGGGGTATATATATACCTGAAAGTGAAATTGCTGGATCATATGATAATCCTATTTTAACTTTTTGATAAACCACCATAGTGGGTGCACCATTTTGCATTCCAACCAATAGTGTGCAATCATTCCAATTTCTACACATCTTTGCCAAACACTTGTCATTTTTTGTTTTTATAGTAGCCATCCTTACATGTAAGGTGGTTTTGGTTTTTATTTCCCTAATGATTAGTGATGCTGAACACCTTTCCCCATTTTTTAAGAGTTGTTTTATTGCACCTTTTCATCCAATCTTTAATTCTGATGTAGTACAACTCATCCATTTTTTTCCTTTGGTACCTGTGCTTTTGGTGTCATAGTCAAGGAATTATGCCAAATTCAGCGTCATGAAGCTTTTCTCCTGTTTCCTTCTAAGAGTTTTATAGTTTTAACTCTTATATTTGTTCTGATCCACTTTGAGTATGATATAAGGGTTCAACTTCATTGTTTTATATGTGGATATCCAGTTTCTCCAGCACCATTTGTTGGAAAGACTGTCCTTTCCCTATTGAGTTGTATCGGCACATTTGTCATTTAAGCAGATATATAATGGTTTATTTTTGGGCTTTCTATCCTATTCCGTATGTTTATGTCTACCTTATGAGAATGGCTAACAACTGAAAAGTGTATAGTGTTTTTGTTCTAGATCATCCACTTAACCTTTATCAAATAAAAACTAGTGTTTCACACCTTCCAATACCTTCTCTCTCCCTACTATCACCTCCTTAACATCACTATTGAGCTTCAAAACT